TGTAAAAGTTAAAACCTTCCTTTTTAAAAAAAGAAAAGGGGAAGTGCTGTGGGATGGTCTGTATGTCAAATGCTCTGATTGGTCAATAAATAAAACACTGATTGGCCAGTGGCCAGGTAGGAAGTATAGGTGGGACTAACAGAGAGGAGAAAGGAGGGAACAAACAGGAAGACAGAGGGAGACACTGCCAGCCAGCTGCCATGACAAGAAGCATGTGAAGACGCCGGTAAGCCACGAGCCACGTGGCAAGGTATAGATTTATGGAAATGGATTAATTTAAGATATAAGAACAGTTATCAAGAAGCCTGCCATGGCCATACAGTTTGTAAGCAATATAAGTCTCTGTGTTTACTTGATCGGGTCTGAGCGGCTGTGGGACTGGCGGGTAATAGAGATTTGTCCTGACTGTGGGCAAGGCAGGACAGCTCTAGCTACAGTGTTTTCTTCATGATTGTCCTGAACTTGGTGGGTTTGGGTGTAGAGATATCACAGAGGTACTGCTCTTATCACAGCATGTCAAGATGTATACTAACAATATGATCTATAACTGTCGATGTAATTCTGATAACTGTACTAAGATAACTGTCACAAAGCATGCTCACTCTAAAGTATGCTTTCGATTTCTTGTACTGTATTCTTTGGAAAGAAGTTATTATGAGTAGCTCACACTTCAGTGAGAGTTTATGATTTTATTCCTTTAAGAAAGGATTATCTACATAAACTATTCACAATTCTGTATTAGCATAGACATATCCCTTCTAATTGATTAACTGATTGACTTAATAATTTGTCATGGCAATGCTCTTAAGTCACTGTTATCTAATACTGTGTTATATTATTTCTCAAATGAATCTAGCTATTCCAGTTGGTTCCTGTATGGTTTCATCCAAACACATCAGTATGTACATGGCATTATAGTATTCTTTAGTCTCATCTTCGGTATTTCCTGCCAAATTCTAGAATTAATCATTTCACTAAGGATTACTAATTATCATGAAGTTGTGTTTTTATGAAAACATGTAATATATTTAAGCATCCTGGCTGTACAACCTAACACAGAATAAAACAAACATTGAAATTTCTTACAATTTATTATATGCAGAAGGAAAACTGATAATGATCTGGTAATAATATACTGGAAAGCCAAAGAAACTGACATCATGGAAATTAAATGATACCTGAAGATTTTATTACAAAGGCTTTTTTGGCACCTGTTGTTATGGCTTAAATATATGTCCCCAACAGACTCATGCTTTGAAAGACGATGCCATCACTGGTCTCATTCTTTTAGGAGACTATAGATCCTTTAGGAGTTGAGAACTAGCTGATGGAAGGAGGTGTCTTAGGGGAGGCCTTTGAAAGTTACTCTCCACATTGTGGCTTTATCCTTCCACTCTGCTTTCTAGTCTACTGTGACATGAATAGCTTTGGCCACACTCCTCAACACTATGACCTGAACCACTCCGTCATGCCTTCCCAGCCATGATGAGAGGAAATACATCTCTCCCTCCTCAGTTTGTTTCTGTCCAGTGTTTTAATGCCCAGTGTCCAGTGACACACAGTTGGACTACTACCGTAAATAAACTTGACCATGTGGTTCTTGGGCTCTGAAGATGAGTTTTCAGGAGGAATTTGGATGAGTCTAGTAATGAAGCGGGTCAAGCTATTCCAGCAGACAGCCTACATGCTGTCTGCTCTCTATTCACAATTGACTTTATAGGCAAGCAGAATTAGAGGGCTATGGGAGCTGCTTCTATGGGTTTTGAGAAAATCCAGGAAGGTCAGGCAGTCTGCAATAGAGATGGATTCCCTATGAGGAGACCCCGACAAGGATATGGGTGAAGCTCCATGGATGCAGATTAAGTGCATTGAAGACCCCAAGATTTTGATGATACCAGAAACATAGAAAATCTACAAAAGAAAGTGCAGGCCCCAAATGCAACTTCAGGGGAGAGAGGCTCCACATGCTGCAGACGATAACAATGGAAGGATGGAGCATCCTAGAAAGGTGGAGCATCCTGGAAGGGTGGAGCATCCTAAGCCATTAGAGCCTACAGGACACCAAATGCTGTGGACCCTGACTGTGGAGATACAGAACTTAGTGCTTGCCCTGCTGGGTTTGGGTACCGTTTGAGTCAAATCTTCCCTTGCTGTCTTTCTGCTCTTCTGTTTGGGGATGGGAGTATTTATCCTGGGCTACTTTATAATAAAAGAATATAATTTTACTTTTGAGTTAGTACAGGCTTATGGGTAAGAGTTGTCTTGTGTTTCAGAAAAGACTGAATTGTAGCAGGAATCTTCAAAGTTCTTATTAATAAAATCAAACCCAAGGCCAGTTATTGGGGTCAATGCTGGTAGATCAGAGAGACAGAACAAGCCACAGCTATCTCACCTCGCCAGTTCCTCAGCTGGTCCTGTTTCCTCAGACTGGAAGCTTCTGAGTCCTCATCCCAATGGCTCTCAGCTGAACTGTGTTAGAAGCCTGAATGCTTAACCAGCCAAAATCTTCTAGTTTCTGGTCCTCACGCCTTATATATCTTTTTGCTTTCTACCACCACTCCCTGGGATTAAAGGCTGGCTTTCTGGGATTAAAGGCGTGTCACCATGCTTGGCTATTTCCAATGTGGCCTTGAACTCACAGAGATCCAGAGGGATTTCTATCACTGGAATGCTAGGATTAAAGGTGTGAGTGCCACCATTTTCTAGCCTTTGTATCTAGTGGCTGTCTGTTCTCTGACCCCAGATAAATTTATTAGAGTACACAATATTTTGGGGAACACAATACCACCACACTGAATGCTGGAATTTTGAAATGTACTGGGAATGTTAGGACTTCAGGGACTCAATGTTAAATAAAAGCTGAATC